CATCATCTGCACGCTTATCCCCAACAATTTTATCATCATCATCATCATTACCATGATTCTCGTTGTTGGTATCGTTATCATCACCGGCATCATTGCCAACATCGTTAGATTTTTTATTTTCATCATTATCATTATCATCATCGTTAATAATATCATCATCATCATCATCATCATCATTAATTCGATCACACGTGACCACGTTTAGATCTTCGTCATCATTCTCATTATTACCATCATCATCATCACCATCATCGTCATCATCATCATCATCATCGTGATTATTATTATTATTTTCATGGATGTCTGGATTGATAACAGCTGTGCTGCGATTGCTATCCTCGGCTGGAGTGCTATTATTATTATTATTATTGTTATTATTATTATTATTGTTGATGTTGTTGTTACTAATGCTAGAAGCGATTTTGCAGTTGTTATTGTTGATGTTGTCATTATCTACATCAGGATTGATTTTGCTTTGCACTTTGTCATTTATGTCGTTGATGTTCAAATCTTTGTTTTTGATGATGCTGTTGTTGTTGTTGGTGGTGGTAGTAGCTGTGGCGGCGATCTTTGCGTGTGCAGCGACGTTTTTGCTGCCGCTGATGACGCCACCATCGTTGCTTCTAGAGACAATCTCAGCGCGTTTGTCACTGCTGATGTTTTTGCTATTGATGATGTCATCGTCGTTGTTGTTGTTCTTTGTAATGTCTTTGTTGTTGTTGCTATCTTTGTTTCTATTGTCTGATGTGCCTCTGACTGTCGGTTTTGCCTGTTCAGTGGATGCTTTAATCTCTGTTTCGAATGATATTAATGAAAAACAAAAATTATTATTACAATTTATAAATTATTTATAATTATGACCATTATTATTATTATTATTATTATTACTAATATTAATTACTCATTGCCACTCATTATAATTATTCATCTATTCGTCTGCTTATGTACATATGCATGTTGGAATAAAAAATTGATAATGTTGAAATCACACAAAGCCCACATAAGCAAAAGTAGACAGCAATGCGTTTACTACTCCCACACACACACACACACACACACCACACACACACACACAAGCACTAACTGTTGGCATCCATCTTGTTCTTAATCATGAATACGGACTTCTCTGCCTCTTTGATTGCATTCAACAGCAGAAGTTTGTTTGCTTGTAATGGTGCTAGCATGGCTGGCCTATAGGAACGATTAATTGATTGATTGATTGAGTGATTGATTGATTGATTAATTGATTGACTAATGATTGATTGATTGAATGAAAGAATTAATAAAATACTGATTGGATGAATGGAAAGTGTAATAAATGAAATGTAATCAGAAAAATAAGAGACAATCAAATCAATCAACTGATCTATCATCTGACCACTCTATCTTTCAATCAATCTAACTTTCAATCAATCAACCAATAAATCTGTCTGTCTGTCAACCAATCAAACTTTATTGTCAGTCAGTCACAGTCATTCAGTCAGTCAACCAATCAACCTACTCAGCTGAGAACCTATCAAACAATCAATTAATTAATCAGTCAATCAATTAACCAATTAGCCAATCAATCAATTAATCAGTCAATCAATCAATCATTCATCCAGTCAATCGGCTTAGACATTCCACAAACCGTCTGGTAACATTAGCAACAACACTGAACATATTTGGACGTTTGGAATGATGGTGATGATCATCATCGTCGTCGTCGTCGTCATCATCATCATAGCGTCGTTGATTAGTTGCACCAATAACTGACAACAACTTGATTTGTTTGAAGTGTTGATGTTGTTGCAGTTGTGGTCGTGCTACCTGTTGCTGTGGTTGCGCAACGTGTTGCTGTGGTAGCGCAACGTGTTGCTGTGGTTGCGCAACGTGTTGCTGGGGTTGTTTTCTATGTTCTGGTAGATGTGTGCGCTTACCAAGATGATTACTGGACGATGATGTTGTTGTTGTCGTTGCTGTTGTTTTTGTTGTCGTTGTTGTTGTTTTTGTTGTTGCTGCTGTTGAAGGTGACGTCAAACGTTTGGTAGATTTGCTAGATGTCGTCGTCGGCAAAGTCGTTGTTGTCGGTTGCAAAGTTGTTGTTGTTGTTGTCTTTCTGCTTGCAACATCTCTGACGTCATCATCGATATCATCAGCTGTGAGTTGTTGATATCAACATCTTTATCATCATCATCAACAACAGCATCCTTAGCATCTATCATCATCATTCATTATCATCATCATCATCAGCAGCATTTAGCATCATCATCATCATATAATATCATTACCATCACAATAACCAACCACCACTGCAATCTTAAAAATAATTTCAACCATTAAAAAAAACACTAACAACAAATAAAATCAATATAATAGGACTAACAAAAATAAAAAATAATAATAATAAAATAATAATAATAATGATCCTAACTGGATTCTGCATGTAGTGTGACCTCCTCCTCGACGACATACTTACCCTGCTTCTTATTGGTCGATATCTTAGTCTTATCAGCCAATTGGGTGTCTGCATGCAAAATGGGGCAAATTAAATATTGCAGTAAGAATAATTATAATAATAAAAATAATAATGATGATAGTGATGATAATTATTAAATTATAATGATGATGATGATGATGATGACAACCTGAGCGAATTTTCAAGGTTTCATCAATTTCTTTTAATTCTAAAAGAAAAAAAATATTTTTGTTACTATTTTTATGTAATTTAAACATTAAATTAAAAAATTTCATATAAAAGAATCAAAAAAAATAAATAATAATAATAATAATAATATATAAATAAATAAAATAATTATGTTGAGAGAAGTTTACTTTTAAATGTATAAAAACTTACCCGTAGTTATGGATTGGATTTTGTTAAGTAAACCATGCAACCTAATTGAAATTTCAATTGAAATATTTCATTTTAAAATTAACTTAAAGATGTAACAAAATATTCATTTTATATATGTAGAAAAAAATATTAATATAAAAAACATTTTAATTGTGATAATTATTAATTACAAATATAATAGAAATTTTTTAAAAATACTTAACAAGGTAAATAAAAACAAAACATGAGAACTTTAAAAAAATTAATAAACCTAAATGAAAACGACTAACTAACCAGGTGGTGAACTTGGTCGTGTTAGGCCCCAGAAAAAGATTTAAATCATCATCCATCTGTTTCTGCGTCTTTTTATTGGCCACCATAACCATCACGTAGTCGGGTAGTTCTTCATCTGGTTGTTAGGGGGAATTGGGGAATACCAATGACAGAACACATTTTGAAAATTTACAAAGTGGATTTACCATATAAAATTATAGATCAAAATAATGCTTGATGTAATTTGTTGTTAAAATATATTATATGTTAATATATTTACTTATAGCTTTTTATATATAAAGTTTACATTAGGTGTACAATTTTAATTTTCAATTACAATTAGTAAATAAGTATGTATTATGTATGACATGAATAAAGTAACAGTTGTAAAAAATTAATTTAAAAATGTATTGTAAATCTAAGTTTTTCAAACTGTCATAATTTCAGTATAAATTTTAATCTAAAATAAAAAATGCACAATGATCAGGTCACCTAATTTCACTAACTTAAATAAAATTATTAAAATAGATTAAAATTAAAAAAAATAACCACTAACCCACGTAAGCTCCAAAATCTAGCAATTTTGCTTTGATTGCCGCCTATCGGAAAAAATTAAATTAAAAATTTTGAAATAATAATTTTTTAATGCAAAAATGTGATAAATTGAAGTATATTAACTCTAATTTTGAGGCCAATATCCTGTCCTAACTCCATTTTTTTATGGTTTCAATATCTCGGATTATACGTACATAAAACTTTTCGAGAAAAACAATTGACTTATTATCGTTAGCATAGATAGGAAAATATTATATTAATTAAACTGAATTTTATATTTAATAATTATCAATACTAAATATTTAGAATATACTCAATATATCTATACATATACATACATATATATATATATATATATATATATATATATATATATATATATATATATATATATATATATATATATACATGATTAATACTAACGCTTAGAATACCATGTACTTAAAAAGCAAGTTTTTTACTTATATTCAGCATAAATTTAAATGGTATTTTCATTTTAATTAAAGAAAATTCTCCTTAATTGCTTCGACCGAACAACATTTAAATCTACAAATCAGTGATTGCTTGTTTTTAATTGTGCTACTTTATGTCAATTCGTATCAAATTACTAATTTTCACACGAATAAATCTCTATTCTAAATAAATTAAATGCATAGCGCAGTTATATTTCCTTCGCAAACTTTTTTCAAAGTTAGCAAACAGTCGCTAGAGTTTTCTAACAAATCTATTTTTCTCATTTGTATGTATATGAGTCATTTGATATAAAAGGTAAATTTGCAAATTTAATTTAAAAATAAATTATTTTTAATTTTAGAATTTAAATAAAATTAAAACACTTAAAAAACATACAACAAAAAACACCTCAAACAAACAACGGCATTTCATACATAACAACAAACCCAACCGTAGGAGGCCAAACTTACCTGGCACAGAAGATACCGTGATCAGCAAGGCGGTTCTTCCAGGGGGAGGCCCACCATTGCACCTCGGATGGGCTGAAGCCTGCGATTACCCCAAATGTGGGTAAGTCGGGTGCATAATTTTTGTTAGTGGGGAGTTGCGTTCGCGCTTTTCCCTGATGATTCTTTCAATAAAATTTTAAAGTTTGGATTTATGTTCTTTGGGGATTTGTCAGTTTATCTAATTTTCTTTTATTTATTTTATTATTATTTATTTAATTTTATTTTTCACGTCTAAACATTCTTCTTTCTCCGTATTTTTATTTATTTATTCACTTATTCGATTAATTTTGTACTACTGCCTTGCATGCCGTGCCTCTGTCAGATCCTCAATTTTTAAAGAATAAAAAAATAATTTTTTGTTCGTTGAAGATTTGTGTTCGTTGGTGATTTGTGTTCGTTTGAGAAGATTTGTGTTCGTTCTTTTTTCTTTGTTACCGGACTGTTCTATCGATCTAGTCTGGACTTTCGCTAGAGATCATCTTTTTTCCACTGACATATTTCAAGTCGTAGTTATTTATTTGTTGTACAATTGTTCCGGATAGCCACTGTTGTTGTATACGGACCCTGTCCAAATATTGTTCATTGGAGACTTAAGGCTGTCATACGCCTCGCTCGCCTACACCAAACGTGTATGTATGTCGTGTCGTGTCGTGTGGTCGTTGAGATATTGCGACAGAAAGGTTTCATTGTGACGCAACTTATTGAGTAAGTAAGCAAGTATTATTTTAAGCCAGCCCAGCCGTTGTCAGAGCAACAGTTTATAAATAGGAGAAGGCCGTTCATTTGATTTGACAATCGATATTCAATTGAAGAATTTATGTAGAATAGATGGTGTCGCATGAAATATTTTATCGGAAGTTACTTGAAATTGTAGCAATGATCGTCTTATTCTCTTTCATAAAAACGCTTTAGTTATTAATCTCAAAAATTTAAACGTTAAAAAATGTCACTATTTTAAAAATTGTTCACTTATTTTTGAATCAGGAAAAGATTAGAGTAGGGCTTCTTTGTTCAGTTTTGTGAACGCCATCTAGCAAATGAAATTCATCAAAATGTTGTGGCTTAAGAACCATCTATTGATTCTTCTTCCTACAAGGTTCGCATTGCATAGCGTTTGCTTATGAAGATGCATCTTTGGCAAAATTTATCGAGAAAGCTTTTTAAACTGCAGATAGCATTGTTAAACTGTTTACTTTGCTTTAAATTTCACAAAACCTATCATTACTTTGTTAATAATACGGTACATTTAATTAACTCTCCATTGAGTAAATGATCATCTTTTCTTTTTATCAACTCAACAACTTTCACAAAAACAACACTTTTCTAATAATAAATGCATAACAATACAAATATTTCAATAAAAAAATGTTCAGTATCCATTGCAATTTAGCGCAATAGTTTTAACTAATACAAACAAATAGACGATGAAATTTTCGTTAAATGTCATCCCATTTATACTTCCCCCAAGAAATGGTTGGCCTCGTTATTGAACTGACCTGCTTTCTGTCTTCGTTCTTAGCGCAGTAGTGTAGGTATTCATGATTCTTTGTGTAGACTATTAAACTCGTCTCACACTCTGACGTCACAAAATTATTACCATTATTATTATTAATCGTATTATAATTTTTTAAATTGTTAATTATCTCATTATTTTGATTTTTTTGCTTTGAAACGAAATAGGCGATGAGAGTGGTCAGTGAGAGGAAGACCGCGGTGCACAGTACAACAAAAATAATTAACGTGTTGTACCGATTCGACGAATATTCGTTCGCTATTTGCCGGTTTTCTACTTGGAGTGTGATCTGAAATGAAGCATATGTACGAGTTGAGGTATAGTTTCTGTAAAGTGTTATTCTATCAGATGTAGTAGAAACGAAATATTTCGGTTCGACATTGAAATATAACATTTGGGTTGAATATGAAAACTTTTCTATTTTTGAGTTTCCATTTTTGTGTTCGATTGCATAGTTGCGGGCAGTACTACTCGACAACTGATTATCACCAACTAATTCGAAATCATTTCTTATCAGCGATGCTACCTTCTTACCGATTAATTTAACTGGTTTAGAGCATTTGTTGCTCTTTTTGTTAGAATTGGAAAACTGGCCTTTGTTCGTTAGCAACCAATCTTGAAACATTAACAGAGAGCTGTTGCAGATCCAGCTGTCACTTGTTAGTTGGACACTTTTTATTCTCTCAAGACTTCGAACCGATTGCCCGGATATCGTTTCCAGGTTTGAGTCGGTCATTATCAACTTTTCGAGGTTCAACCTTTTTTCATGAAGCAAAACATGGTCTAAGAATGATCTTATCATATTAGGATTTCTTTCCAAATCCAAAATTTTTAATTTTTCTAAGTTTCTAAAAATAAATTCCGAATTAGAATAATCACCAATGAAACTGTTTGCTAAATTTAAAGTACCTAACGATGGCAAATCTACAAAAGCATTGTTTTCTATTGCGTAAATGTCATTATTAGACATGTAAAGTGATTTCAAATTATGGAGACCCCTGAAACTACCCTCACGAATTATTTTTAGTTTGTTAAAATTCAATTCCAAAGTTTCTAACTTGCTTAGTTTGTCAAAAATGAACTGCGGAATGTCTGAGATTAAATTTCCAGATAACGATAGAGCAGTTAGATACGAACAACAGTTAAGGTTGCTTAGATGTGTAATTTGGTTGGATTCAAGAAAAAGTTTTTGCAGTTTTAAAGGCAGATTTTTTGGAATTTCTATTAGCTTGTTGTTGTTAAACCATAACTGTTGAAGATTCGGGTATTGCTCAAAAAAGAAAAAATCGGTAGTGTTAACCAAATTATTATCTAAAACCAGAACCGTTAAATCAAATGTAGTATCTAAATTTGGCACATCACTTTCCGTAAATTCATCCAAAACTTTCGCTTTTAACATTCTAATAAAGTTATTTTTTATTTGCAAATACTTTAAAGATTTTGCGAGTCTGACTGGGTAATGCTTTATCAAACAATCTGACAGATCCAAGAAAGAAAAATACCTGGAGGTTGTGCTAACACCGTCAAATATCTCTATAGGATTGTCACTCAAAATTAAGTAACTCAATTTCTTCAAACCCTCAAAAGATTTCATATGAACAAAACTGATGTTGTTTGCGTTTAAATTAATGTAACGTAAATTATCCAAAGCACGAAACGAATGCTGGCTTATAGATGTTATAAGATTGTTAGTTAAGTAAAGTTTAGCCAAGTTTGGTAGATACGAATTAAAAGATATGTCCTCAAACTGATGGCTTTTTGATAAAAATTTCAAACTTTTCAAATTATTGTAACTGAGATTTAGAATATTTAAAGTCGTGAAATCATCAAAAAATCCGGCTTCTATAGTTTCAATTCGACAATGTGTAACTTTTAGTTTGTTGATGTCTTGCCTGCTGGCAATTAAATAACTCACGGTTAACTTGCTGATGTTGGTGTCATATATGTGATAGTCAAAATTTTGGGATTGAAGATTTCGAGATGAACACGTATCATCCTCTAAGGATGGTGATTTTTCAGTCGTGTTTCTACAATTGATGATGATTGTATTGTTGAAAACACCGTCATTATCGTCGTTGTGCTTGTTGTGGTTTTTGTGGTTGTGGTTGTTGTGGCTGCTTTTGCCGTTGTGGCTGCCAATATTTCTGTAGCTTCTGACAGATTTTTTAAGAAGTTTGCCCTGTTTAACGCTGTTGCTGTTGTTGATGTTTTTGCTATATTCAGTATTTGAGTTTTTTAGTTGTTTTTCTGTTTGTAATTGTTGTTTATATTTTCAGATTTTATGAAATTGTTGTTGTTGGTATTGTTATTATTATTGTTGTTGTTGTTATTGTTGTTGTTGTTATCGTTGTTGTTGTTGTTGTGATCATTGTAGCTGTCTAAATTTGTGAGAGTTAATTCATCATCTCCATCATCATTCAGCCTCTTTTTGATGGGGTTCACGTTCGTCGTTATCATGAGTGAGGAGCAGTGACATTTTAATGATGACGACGACGATGATGAGGACGGCAAAGATGGTGGTAAAGATGAAGAAGAAAAAAATGATGATGAGGATGATGATAAAAAAGACAATGGTGACGATGTATCCGAGACTGATGATGATTGTGATGATGATTGTGATGATGATGGTGGTGTTGGTGGTGGCGATTCTGAAAATGATGATGATGATCCTGACACCGTTACGACCTTTTTAGATTGTTCAGAGGACGATAGGAGTGATGATGATGATGACGACGATGATGACGACGATGATGATGAGTAGAGTGATGATGATGAGGAAGATGCCTTTGATATTGATGATGATACTGACGAGATAAGAGCCAACAAATTAATTGCCAAAACTGGAATACAACCTAGCATACTCTTGTTTTTCATATTTTTGTGTGTTTTATTTATTCTTTCATTGAATTAGGAAAATATTACCCTGCTATTAAGATTACTCTGCTATTAAACAATCTTTTTGTTAAAATGTCTTATAATTATTTTATTTAAATTCATCAATCCACTATAGAATTTGTTTATTTATATAATAATATTAATGAAGAAAATTAATCCAAAATAATTTCATCAAAATGTTATTGTGTTTGTGTTTTACAGAACAATACAATCATCATCAAGTGTATAAATAATCCAGCATAGTTCAAAATCACAACGATTATAACTAGATCAGTTCCCCCCTTCAAGTTTAAAATACATCCATTTAAACTAGATATAAAAACAAAAGCTAAGCAACCATTGTGCTGTAAGAATCAGCACAAAACAAACATACAGAGATGCGAACGTCGCGCTATATAAATTATTGTACCAAAAGCGGAAGTTACGTCATAGTACATAGATAGATATAATCGGACAGACGTATGTGTGTGCCCATTCAAAGGTCCTTTAAATATTTATTTATTTATCTATGCGGACTGAAATCAATTCACTTATAATGTGTATTTATGTATATTTAGGTATCATTGTATTGTGTTGTGTTGTATTGTATTTATGTTGTATTGTATTGTATTTGTGTTGTATTGTATTGTATTTGTGTTGTATTGTATTGTATGTATGTGTGTTTTGTTGTATTGTATGTTGTATTTTATTTGTCTTATATTGTATTGTATGTATGTGTGTGCGTGTTGTATCAGTTTGTATTGGTTGTATGCTTTATGATTTCAGGCGTGTGTAAGTATGTGGTCGTGTATAAGTGGATTATCTTTCGTCTATTTTCTCTTTCTTTCTCTCTCTCTCTCTCTCTCTCTCTCTCTTTATCTTTATCTCTCTAGCTTTCTCATTTTTTCCGCGTGTTTGTCTTTCTATCTGTCTGTGCCTCTCTCTCTCTCTCTCTCTCTCTCTCTCTCTCTCTTCTTTCTTTCTCTTTTTATTTTTTCTTTCCTTTCTCTTTCTTTGTCTTTCTTTCTTTCTTTCTTTCTTTCTTTCTTTCTTTCTATCTTTCTTTCTTTCTATCTATCTATCTTTCTTTCTTTCTTTCTTTCTTTCTTTCTTATCTCTTAATCCGTATTGATTGCTTGCAGTTTCGGGTTCTTCACGTTTCAATGTTATACTTAATAAGACTTCCCGAGGTCCTGATATGTTTGCATGCATCTGGCTGAGTTTATATTTTTTTCACTTATCCACGTCTGCTTGTTTGTTTGTATCTTTTAATTATCCGACATTTCAGTTCATCATCGTCGTCATCGTCGTCATCATCGTCTCATAAGCTTCGCCATATGGCAGATAAATTAAGAAGATACTAGGATGGGACGGTGAGTTAAATTAAAATTGGCACTTGCTAGATCTTATCACGAAGGTTACAATTATATTGCCGCTACTGTCGGTACTACAACTACTACAACAACAACTTCTACTACTACTGCCACTACTGCTACTATTACCACTACTACTACTACTACTCCTACTGCCACTACTACTACTACTACTACTACTACTACTACTACTACTACTACTACTACTACTACTACTACTACTACTACTACTACTACTACTACTACTACTACTACTACTACTACTACTACTACTACTACTACTACTACTGCTACTACTACTGCTACTGCTACACACACACATATTCACAAATAACACACACACATACAAACACACACATATCAATACACATGTATTAACAGATATACGTATCTTTATTTTAACTATCTAAGTGACCTATGACCTATACATCGTGTTTACATGTCATTATCTATCAATTTATAGCTTAATAAAAATATATCATTTTTTACTTTTATTATTATGTTTTCATTCATTCGTTCGTTCATTCGTTCGATCGTTTGTTTTTTTTAATGTTTCATCGAAGTTTATACAAGTCAAACATTTATTTATTATAATTTAATTATTTTACCAAAACCAATTTCTATTATTTATATATATATATAAATATATATATATATATATATATATATATATTTATTTATTTATTTATAAGTGTGTGTGAGTGACTGTGTGTAAGAGTGTGTGTGTAAATATAATAGTATGTTTGTTCAATACGTTTATTAGTTACATATAATAGCAAAATTTTTTTAAAATGACATCGATTTAATCACATTTTTAACATTATTATTAATTGCATCTCTTATCAGCACCAGAAGAATCATTTATGATGCTTATATTATCACAGCCAGTCAGTTATTCGCATGAACAATCAATTATTCGACTGGTTAATAAATCAATCAACTAACCAATCAGCACACTAATCAATCAACTAAGCGACCTACAGCCCAACTAACCAAAGCCAACCAATCAACAAACTAACTAACCAACCAATTAATCAACCAAACAACTAGCCACCTAACTAACCGAAACAACCAACAAACCAGCCGACCAACCAACCAATCAACAAACCAACCCATCAATCAATCAACCAATCAGGTCTTCAATTTACTGCCGGAAGAACTATTCAGCATCTTTTCAAGTTTCTTAATGGCACCCCTCGTGTTTATTTCTTTGACCGCTTGACTGTACCAATTGTAATTATTGTTGTAGTTGTTGTTGTTGGCGTTGTTGCGTGGCATTTTTTGGACATTTTGGGATTTGTTCTGTGGGTCTAAAAGGTTATCCATGTATACGATGTTGTCCAAGCCTGCAAAAACTGTGGTGTGGTGTTTGTTTGCTTGTGTGTGTGTCTATGTGTGAATTTATGTGTGTGTTTTTGTGGGTGTGTGTGTGTGTGTTTGTATGTGTGTGTTTGTTTGTTTGTGTGTGTCTATGTGTGAGTTTATGTGTGTGTGTTTGTTTGTGTGTGTGTGTTGTGTGTGTGTGTGTGTGTGTACTACGTCTGTAAACGTTGTTCCATGATGCGAACGATCGAATGCATGAATGGATAAATGAAAAATAAGTAGTTCACGAAGGAATGGTCAAATTATATAATGAAATGTCCACTTAAAAAAAGTGATTGAATAGAAAAATGAATGATTGAATGAAAAAATGCGTGTTTCCTTGGATGAATAAACATTTGATTAGGAGGCTTCTAACTTTAGGATGAGTTTTGGCCAGGAAAAAGTTTTAAATGCTGCCTCTGACGAATGAAAAATCGTTGAATGAAGTTTATTTCGGCTTATTGAGTAAATCTTAAAAATGTTTGAAACCGATAAATAGGATTAACGAAGCGATGATCGTCGAAGATGTGGTGGATGTTAGAGCTGCTGCTACAGTAGCTACAGCTGCTGCTACAGTAGCTACTGCTGCTACTCCTGAGAAAGATGATGACGCGATGACGACAATGATAAACAATGACGATGATGACATTGATGCAGCTATAATGGTGATGATGGTGACGATGGTGACGATGACGTCTTTCTAATGATGACGTATTTAAGATGATGACGATGAAAATAGAAGATGACAAATTTTATGGCTGCACCAACTCTATTGGTGACGTCAATTATGATAATTATAATTGTAATAAGAAAGATGAAGATGATAAAAATATGAATGAAAAGATAACTATTTCGAAAATTATAAAGGTAAGAACTCTGGCGAAAAATTCCAACGCTAATACAAAAAAGAAAAAATGATCCCATTACATTAAAAAAAAACTATCTACTTATATGCAAATTTCTGTACTCAAAATTAATACCAAATGCCGAAAATTATTGCCATCCTGCACTTAGGAGTAAAAATATGCTCTGATCTGCCAGATGAATTTATAAATTTTATTTTAAATATGCTCTGCTCTGCCAGATGAATTTATAAATTTTATTCGCTCAAGTGCATACATAGCTACAATTTTTTGTCTAGTTATTTAGAAAAAATTATTTCTGAAATGAAATAAATTAAATAATAATCAAATTAATAAAGTATTTTGTCCGTCTAAAAATGGCGTGAAATAAAATTGATTAAAAATTTTTTTTGTAAAAAATTAAAATAATTAAAAATTAACATCTTTTAAATAGGTGTGGCCCGTGAACTGCAATAGGGTACCGAGACTCGTCCCCACCATCATTACCATCATCACCATCATTACCGTCACCATCATTATCATCATCATCCTGATCGGAAATGACGTCACTAAGGAGGCCATCATCGTCGTTGTCGAAATTCATCTTTTTGACGGTCTGACGGGCAGCACCTGGTGGTGGAAGAAAAGTTACAAAATTAAAATGGAACAGTGTTTAGAGAGTTAAGTAGGGTTTCATCATCATCGTTATTGTCATCGTTTGTATCATCGTTTGTATCATCGTTTGTATCATCGTTTGTATCATCGTTTGTATCATCGTTTGTATCATCGTTTGTATCATCGTTTGTATCATCGTTTGTATCATCGTTTGTATCATCGTTTGTATCATCGTTTGTATCATCGTTTGTATCATCGTTTGTATTAACGTTTGTTTCATTGTTTGTATCATCGTTTGTATCATCGTTTGTATCATCGTTTGTATTAACGTTTGTTTCATTGTTTGTATCATCGTTTGTATCATCGTTTGTATCATCGTTTGTATTAACGTTTGTTTCATTGTTTGTATCATCGTTTGTATCATCGTTTGTATCATCGTTTGTATAATCTCTACCATCATTATATTGTTGGTTGTTCAATTTTACATTATCTTCATCAATGAAATTAGTATATTGTCATAATCATTGACATCATCGCCGTCATCATCATCATCATCACCATAACTGTCATCATCATCATCATCACCGTAACTGTCATCATCATCATCATCACCACAACTGTCATTATCATCATCACAGTAACTGTCATCATCACCATGACTGTCATCATCACCATAACTGTCACCATCATCATCATCATAACTGTCATCATCATCACCATAACTGTCATCATCACCATGACTGTCATCATTACCATAACTGTCATCATCACCATAACTGTCATCATCATCATCACCATGACTGTCATCATCATCATCATCACCATAACTGTCATTATCATCATCATAACTGTCAACATCATCATCATCACTATAACTGTCATCATCATCATCATAACTGTCATCATCATCATCACCATAACTGTCATCATCATCACCATAATCATCTTCATCATCTGACCACCTGCAAACTTTAATGACCACCATTCATAATGATCGTCGACCACTTAGCGTTATTAGAAATCTCGAGTTGAAAATCTCAAAAATCAGATCACTCATGTTGCCAGGGATTTATCTCACAGAAGAAAAATTCAATTTTTCAACACGCACACACACAGACACACACACGCACGCACGTATATTCACACACACTCACGCACGCTCAAACGCTTGGCTAAATCTTGTAGATTTATCTAAAAAAATGATATGTGAAATGTTAATAATATAAACAATTAAACGGGCATATGAATATAAATATGGGTGAATGAATGGATAAATGAATGAATGAATGAATGAACGAACGAACGAATGAACGAACGAATGAATGAATGAATGAATGAACGAACGAACGAACGAATGAATGAATGAACGAACGAACGAACGAAATAAATGAATAAGTTTTCACGTCATTTTAGAGAGGAAGGAACAAAGAATTAATATTATTTCCATAGACAAAAAACTCTGGCGGTTTTTATTAGGACGGAAGAACGCATTTCCGCCAATAAATCTACACTCTACATTTATTCACACACACACATACACACACGCACACGCACACACAGACGCACACACACACAAACACACATGCATTGATAGACGCAATTATTCTGAAAATTTTGTAAGCAAATAAAGTCGAAGATTGATTAGATACTGTTTTTAAGAGTGATGTGTTGTCGGTTATTATTCGCTTGGTTTCTGTCGGTTTTTTAATTATTTGCTCGATTTTTATTGATTTTTTAAACATACGTGTTATTGGAAAATTGAAAAAATCTTTTAAGACAACTTGCGGAAAATAATTTTTATCATTCTTAACGATTCCTTTATGATTTATTTTTGAAACTCAAAGAGAAACTCTTCCACTAATCTTCAAATGTTTAAAATTAATTTCCACCTCGCATTCGTCACGTACCACTGGCTTGGTTTGGATTTTAAAACTACTCTCCTTCTATCAGCCCGTAAATAAATGAATGAAAACATGAATGAATGAGTGAGTAACTTATAAAATGAATGAATAAAATAGTGACCGAATGAATGAATACTTGTGAAAATGAGTAAACCATTAAAAAAAAATAAATGGTTGCATGGTTGAACAGATGAATAAAAGAACAAAAGATGGATTGAATGAACGAACAACTAACAAATAAAAGAGTTAAAATTAATTGAGAAATATGATATTATAAGCGACTCGACAAATCCGTTGACAATTTTCAAGAATTCAAGCAATGACTAGCCTAGCGTGCAGACAAACATGCAAACAAACAAACGAACATACAAACAAACACATACAAACGAACAAAAACAAACAAACACACATATACACGTAACACACACAGACATACACATACAAATACACAAACACACAAGCCAAAACTCCATCCCTGTCTATCATTAAACGTTAACCGTCGAATCTTCCGAATCTTCCTTCTGTAGTGTTTGCTCTTATAATTATTACCAACGATGCAATCAAGGTGCTTGTAGTTGTGTGTGTGCGTGCGTGCGTGTGCATGTGTGTGTGTGTGTGTGTGTGGAACAGCAGAGCATTATGATTATAAACAAATGTAAAAAAGCAGAATAAGCAGATGTATAATTTTTTTAAAACATAAAACTGCAGTAGTAGTAGTAGTAATAGTAGTAGTAGTAGTAGTAGTAGTAGTAGTAGTAGTAGTAGTAGTAGTAGTAGTAGTAGTAGTAGAAGTCAGCAGTAATAGTAGTTGTAGCAGCAGTAGTAGCAGTAGCAGCAGCAGTTGATGTTACTATAATGGTTGATTAGACGAATTAGTAATTCCATAGAAAGTATTTATACGTAGGATGTGGCTGATGAAGTAGCGACAAACGTTAATGAGGCTTCAAAAGAACGTTCATTGCAAACAGGAGGTGGTGGTGGGTGGAGGGAGAGAAAACTTTTTGAATTTTAAAGCTTATAAAATAATCGCTATTCATTTGACATGCATGAGGTGTGCGTGCGTGTGTGTGAGTCTTTGTCTCTGTCTTTCTCTCTTCCTACTCTCTTCCTATCTTTTCTTTTCTCTTTCCTCTCTTTCTCTCTCTCTCTCTCTCTCTCTCTCTCTCTTTCTCTCTAGGTTTTTGGAAATACAAACGTGTTTAAACTGTTTAAAAAATATTTGAATGTGCTTGTATGCGTGTGTGTATGTGTGCGTGTGTATATATATATATATGTGTTTACGTGTGTGTGCGTGTGTTGATGTGTGTGCGTGTGTTTACGCGTCTGTGCGTGCTTGTTTTGATGTGTGTGTGCGTGCGTGAGTGTCTATGTGTATGTGTATGTATATGTGTATTTGTGCCTTTTCAGTTTTGGTTTTTTCTTGAAATGTTTATTTATAGGAAAGATTAGGCAATCATTATTTTAACTAAGGTTTTATTTTTATTTAATTTTTTTATTTCACATGCAAAAAATGAACGCAACGATCAGAACTGCCAAAATGAAAACATTCTAATAATCAAACTTAATGTAAATGAATGCGCTTGTTTATTCTCTCTCTTTTTAAATTCTCTTTATTTTTTTTCTCTCTTTTTTCTTCCTATCTCTCTTTCTTTTTTTTCTGTCTTCCTCTCTTTCGTCCTCTTTCTCTTTTTTTCTTTCCTCTTTGTCTTTCACTGTTTCTCTCAGTTTAAAATTGTTCTCTTCTCTGTTCCTCTCTTTCTCTTCCTTTTTTTCTCTCTCTCTCTCCTTCTCTTTCTTTTTCAACCACACTTCACACACACAGGCACACACACATTCACGCACACCACAAATACATAAATAGACACACAATGCTTTCATGAGAAAAAAAAGGCAATTAAGAAATTTTGTTACATAAAATTATTTTTACGTTATAAATCGCTGCTGCTGAAGAAGAAAGCTTTTTACTTCTGCTGTTTGGCGGGAAATTTTTAGACAAAAATGAATAAAAATCTGAAGAGCAGATAATTATAAATACAAATATTTAAAAATTCGAAATAAATGTAAATAAAAATAAGTAAAAATTTTTGAAAATAAATTTCCTAAACAACACGATGAACACTGCAATGGCGAGCGTCTTAATGATAATTCATTCCTCCGTCCTGTCTGTCTCCAGGAAAAAAAAAATTTTTTATTTCGTTAAATAATTTTTAAACAATTTTAATATTTGAAGTGTTTTGTAAAATTTAGTTTATGAATGAATGAATGGATGAATGAATGAACGAACGAACGAACGGACGGACGGACGGACGTACGAACGAACGAACGAACGAACGAACGAACGAATGAATGAATGGATGATGAACGATGTACGAAAAAAAAATATTTTAAAGTATCATCATCATCACTATCATCATTATCATCACCACCATCATCATAATCACCAACATCGTCGTCATCATCATCACCATCACCGTCATAATCACCATCATCATCGTCATCATTAATGTGTAGTAGTTCATGAATGGGCATAATCTTCTTCAGCAAAATCATCATCATTATCACCATCACTTTTTCATCATCATCATCATTATCCTCATTGATGTCATCACATCTTCTTCATCACTGTCATCATCATCGTCCTCGTCGTCGTCATCATCATTAAGGTGTAGCGTAAAAATGGACATCGTTAATAAACTCACAACAGCTCGGCAAGAAAGTTTCTGGTACATGCTACAATTAACTCATCTGTGGAAGGAAGATGACCAGGAAGAAGATGAGGAAAATGAAGAGGAAGAAGATGAAGAAGCAGATGAGAAAGAAAATGAAAAAAAAAATGAGGAAGATGAGGGAGATGATTGGGAGAAGATGAAGAAAAAGATGAGGAAGAAGATGAGGAAGAGGACGAAGAAGAAGATGAAGAAAAAGATGAGGAAGAGGATGAAAAAGAAGATGAGGAAAAAGATGAGGAAGAGAATGAAGAAGATGAGGAAGAAGATTAAGGATATAAGGAAGAAGAGAAAGAAGATAAGAAAGAATAAGATGATGATTATTATTATTATTATTTTTATGATGAGAAGAATGATGAGGAGGAAAAATGTATGACGTCAATAAAGAATGATAATGATGTGACTGATATCAAAACAAACGACAGATAAATACTTCAAAATATTCTAGGTCATAAAAAAAATTCATTGACGTCATGTTACGTCACGGCGCACCCAGCCAATCAGAAACGAGGTGGTCAGATCACGTGATGTTATTCAACTAAATGAAAAAGAGAAAAAATTTTAACGATTCTGTTTATATGACCTTTGAACTTTGAACAGAGGAACTGTATTTATTTTTTATTTTTTTAATAACATTTTTATTGTTTATATTTATTATTTTTTTAAAATATTATCACATTTTGATTCATGATACACAGTGACTGGTTTCAAATGCAAGTAGGATCCACAATCTTCAACTATAATCAGAGACGGTTCGAAAGTGCGTTGTAGCTGTTGAATAATTCATCACTGTTGAATGAACGAACGAATGAATGAATGAATGAACAAATGAACAAATGAACGAATCAATGAATGAATATACGAGCGATTTGAAATAAATGTATTTGTTTAATTACTTTTTACTAATTATTACAGATAAAAATTAACATTAACAACAATATGGTGTTCGTTCGACTGCACCCTCCTAAGTTTAATAAATGAAAGTTATCGACGTCATCATCTGTGTTTTCATGTTGCTGAATAAATTCGCCCAACTCAATATAATTTGACATGGAAAATTTAAAGATTACGATTAATTACACACACACACACACACACACACACACACACACACACACACACACACACAAACACAGATCTAGACAACGTTGACTGAGGAAGAGCAAAATTTTACAAATGTTGATATGTTGAAAATATTTGACCAGAGAAGGGGGAAAGAAATTAGCACAATGTTCGCTAGTATGGGGCCAAATTAGTCTGGGGACATTATTTTTTTGCTTAACCTTCCAACTTTTGGTTCACTTTGTACTTAAAAACGGTTCTTTCCTGCGTAAAAACAGAATTTTACTAACTTACAATGAAAAGACTGATCACAACGGGGTCATAGGGGGCCATAAAGGGCCATAAGGGGTCATAAAGGGTCACGAGGGGCCATGACAGCCTAGGTCTGCCCCTGCAAACGCCTACACATATAGTACTAACTATATTTTTAATCACACAAACATTTTTATTGAAACTTTTTGGGAAAAATAAATAAACTAAAAAAATGATTTAGCAAACATTTTTAGAGAATTGCAGAAGAAATAAAAAGTAAAATCTATCGATATAGCGATTCGTAATGCAAATTCTGCTGGAGGTGGGCCTTGGACGAGCATTTTTAACGCAGAGAACAAGAATAATTAAAGATTTTTATCGTTTTTATCGTTTTTATTATTATTATTATTTGAAATATTATTATGATTTGAATAATTATTATGATTTGAAATATTATTATGATTTGAAATCTTATTTTGAGTTCATGAGTTTTTATAAATTTTTTAAAACGATAATAATTAATATGAAAGTATTAACAAATTAATTGTTTTTTAATTTTATTGAATTATATATTTATATTTTGATTGTTGTCTGTCTGTGTGTGGGTTGTGTGTGTATGTGTGTATTTATGTGTGTGTGTTGTGTGGGTATTTTAGATTTAGGTGTGTGATTAAGTTGTATATTCTTGTTTTAATTGTTGCCTGTGCGTGTATATGTGTGTGTGTTTTGAGCGTGTATTTATGTGTTTGTGTATTTATGTGTGTTGTGTGTATTTATGTGTGTATGTGTGTATTTATGTATGTGTGTGTGTATTTATGTGTGTGTATGTATTTATGTGTTAGGTGTGTGTATTTATGTGTGTTGTGTGTGGGTATTTATGTGTTGTGTGTGTGTGTGTGTATTTATGTGTGTGTGTGTGTGTGTTGTGTGTGTATTTTAGTTTTGGATGTGCGGGCTTTTGTTTATAATAAACAAAAATTATAACTATTTTGTTTGCGCAAGCGATAAATTAGAGATAAATTATTGATCCCGGCGAAGAAATTTAAATGAAAAATTAATTCATAAATAATAGATCTTTTTTATTAATCCATTGTGTGTGTGCGTGTGTGTGCGTGAATGAGATGTTTTGTTTTATCTATGCATACGTCATCATGCGTTCGCCATTTTCTATTGGTCGTTCGCATTATTTATTGGTCTATCTTTCGTTCTTTTGTTCAGTTTATTTTGTTAGTTCATTCATTCGTACATACATTCATTTATTCATTCATTTGGTTGTTGTCTTGATGTTGTTGTTGTTGACGTTGTTGTTGTTGTTGTTGACGTTGTTGTTGTTGTTGTTGGTGGTGGTGGTGGTGGTGGTGGTGGTGGTTGTGTTGTTGTTGTTAATGATGATAAACCATTGTTTATCAATTTCAAGAAAATAATAAATTCAATTTGAAATCACCAAAAAGAAATCTTTTCAAATTTTAAATTCAAAATTAAAATTCTGTTTATTTAAAATCCAAAAACACAAAATAATAAAAAAGATTGTGCGTATTACAGCATACATGGTATTACGCATGTACATATACATTATACATAAATCCAGAGATAGAGAAAAACAGAGTACGAGAAAGAAAGAGAGAGAGAGAGAGAGAGAGAGAGAGAGAGAGAGAGAGAGAGAGAGTCAGACATAGAAATCAAAGGAATGATTAAATGAAGTTATTCGCACGGTTCATTAAACAGATTGTTTTTATTGCTATAAACTTCATTTTATTGTTTTAGAATTCGTTTTTTCTGCTAAAATTCCGATAAAAAATTATCTTTCTTTTGATTGTACGAATTCAATTTTTACCTGAAACAAAATTTAATTTATGTAAGAACTCGTTTGATTTTTACAAAAATTTAACTTTGTTAATATTTTATTTCAAGTTATTTTTGAATGTTATAGATAAAACACACACACGCACCCACACACGCACGCATACAACACGGACACACACACATATTTCTCATTAGTCTCTATGTTGTTGAAAACATTTTTTAAAAAAAATTCATTTCTGAAAAGTTACACGATGTAAAACTGTGCGAAAGATTACGTAATATATCTCTTGATGATGGATTTGAATGATGACGACGACGAAGATGATGATGAGGATGACGAAGATGATGATGATGACATCAAAAATGACGTCACTGATATAATATAATTAAGTTGATAAATAAATAAGCGATAAATAATATTAATAATGATGATGATGACGATGATGATGATGACGATGATGATGTAGCAAAGATGATGTTGCTGATGACGATGAATAGAAGTTTAATGATGATGATGACGATGATGATGATGACGATGATGATGTAGCAAAGATGATGTTGCTGATGACGATGAATAGAAGTTTAATGATGATGATGATGATGATGATGATGATGATGATGATGATGGTGATGGTGATGATGATGATAATGATGATGATAATTTTAATAATGGCAATAACAATATTTTAGATGGAAAAAAAACAAAAAATTTATTTAGCGGATAACAAACAAATTTTCGTCAGAAAGACCAATTAAAGATTTGTCGCTGGAAGCTGAGCAAATGAGTGAGTTTGTGTGTGTATGTATGTGTTTGTGTGTGTTTGTATGTATGTTGGTTTGTATGTATGTATATTTGTATGTATGTATGTAGGTATGTATGTTT